GCCAACATATGTGAGATGATAAGCTACTGAAAGCAGAACAAAGGTTTGGGAGTGGGACATTTATTTCACTGAATACCTGAAGCACAGGTATGCAACTAGCGAATACAGTAGCGTGCTATGGATGCATTATCTAAATGTTGTGAAAGCTCTATTCATTAAATTCCACTTCTAAATGAATTTTGTCAACACCTCCGTTTTTTTTTTATGCACCACAGTTCTCATTGCTGTTTCTAAGAGAAGCTGTGGAAGTGTTGTGGAATATTTGCCTGTGATGTATACCTTTAAAAAAAACACCCAACACTGTTATAATGAAAATAATGTCACGCCACCTCCTGAATAAAGGGTCCAGAAAGAAATGGTGGCAGACCTAGCTCAGTTGATTCAGAGGGGCATGGCATTGTGAGGCTTTGATTATGCTACAGTTGCAAAACATTGAGGTAATCTTGTTCTACCCGAGCATTCAACTCTGCCACCAAACAAAGGCATGCTTAAAGGGGAACCAGTAATTGCTATCACAGGTAGCGGTCAAAAAATACAGCCGCCCCTAGCGTCGCCGCCTCTCAACGCTTTGATGGCCCAAACTGCATTAGGGAGCGAGATAAGCTTGTTAAAGCACGGCCTCTCCTCCAGCCCCCACCTTCTGTTCTTTCCTCCATCACGCTCTCAACCCCGTTCTCTCCTCCACAAGCTTTTAACCCAGACAAACTAGGAGCGTGTGAAGTCTTTGTAGCAATCTCTGAATGCTTGTGGCGTACAATTTACAGAGAAGTGAAACACGAGAATCTATTTTAGGATTTGGCTTTCTGAGTCTGAGATTACAAAATTAGATTCATCTCATATCTAAGCTCTCAGTATTACCAGAACCATGAGCCGCAGAGGCAATAGGGAGACAGGGTCAGTTACTTATTTGTACTTTGTCTTTGATGGCTTTGTGCAAAGTGGAAATGTTTGTACACTTCTGTCAGAGAAACACTTATCTCTCCCGCTCATTATGAGTTGGTATTTAAATGTCCTGTTTGTATTGAAATGGTTTTGCCACTGCAGGATAAAGAAGATTAATGCAGCGAGAGGAAAGCTTAATAAGGAGCCGAATACGTCCCGCTTTTCTATATTATGAATACAGTACGTGCACATATACAGCAACCTGCTAACAGTCTTCGTCCAGCTGTGCTGATTTAACTGTATGCAGCGAAGACTCGTTTAATCTTTGCAGCCTAAGGGAGGTGTTGTGTCTTTGTGTATACTGTATATTTAGAGGGCAGAATTCAGAATTCAACTCACAGTCATGAGGCGGATAGTGCTACGGCCCATGAACCCCACAACAGGGCAGCTATCATTAAAGCTTAAAGATGCAACAAGAACATTAAAAAGTGCTTTTCTGTCTACAGGAAGTTTCCACATACCTGTAGGAGGTTTGTTTACTTACTAGGGCTGCCACGATTAGTCGACTAGTCACGATTACGTCGACTATCAAAATCGTCGATGACTGATTTAATAGTCGACGCATCGTTTGAAGCTTTGTAAGATCACAAAAGACGCAGGAATAAGTAGTAGGATTTAAGAGTGTAATAACGGACTGCAAGGCTAACTAGAGCCGTGAGAACACCGGACTCCCGGCAAATCGTTTTCAAACCCACCGCCGTCTTTCGCTACTCAGGTTAAACATATGAGTCACTTGGATAACTTAAAAATGTTATTGTTTGGCTTTTTTTAGTATTTTATTTGTTCCTGAGTAAATCTGTTTGGCTGAGATTAAAGTTATAGTTTTTACACAGCTGAATAAACGTCAAGCAGACAGCTGATTATCAGAAGTGTGAGATGCTCGAGAATTTACTCCGGTGTCCTGTTATATTTTAGATAGCAAGGAGTTTATTAAACTTCACCAAAACAATCTGCAGATTTCATTAAAATTTAATAAACTATCATCTTGTCTTTGTTTTTAGTTAGCACAGACCTGAAACACTTAAAGCTGTAAGCTAATGATGGTTATATAAGAGCAGATGCTGCTGGTGCAATAAGCTGTACGTTTTACGTCCAATGGATGATGATCTGATTAGTCGACTAATCGCAAAAATAATCGGTGACTAGTCGACTATCAAAATAATCGTTTGTGGCAGCCCTATTACTTACTTATGAAAACTTAAACAATGCACTGTATGCTTCATGTGATCACGCTGAACGTGAACATCTTGTCATATTACTACAACTCAGTTGGTAGCATGATAAAATAGCACATGGCCTGGTAAGGAGACCAGGGCAGTGCTGAGAAAAAATCAAGTTGAATTGTGTCAAGTTCAGCAGTCAGAGAAAAATGCACGTGTGATGCAATTAAGAACAAATTAAAATCTGTTTCACGTATTACAGGCATAATAACAGTCAAAATTGCACTGGGGCAGTCAGTCCTGCATATGTTAATTGGTAATGTTAATGGATCTCATTGCTAATGAAACTTAGCATTAAATTGAATTTGTTATCACTGTTTTAGGCGTGTGTTGTTTGATTTTAATCTCACCTTTAAGAAAGAAAGACCACCATCCAATGTACGATTTATGTCACAGCTACCCTGAATTACGAGTATTGGCAATTACCAA